GACACTTAGTTGTAATAACTATAGTTATTTGTAATAACTGTTGATTATAAATTACTTTTTGTTTGAGATGGGCAAATTGTGTGATTCCAGAGCCCTTGATATATTTTATTTGAAAGGTGAAATTTCAGAAGTGGGCAGAAAACACACATGATGCTTATGAAAAGTTGGACATAATTAAGGAAAAGTTTAAAAGATTTTTCTGGCTCTTTGTTGCCTGAACAGCAAGAAGATGACTTTGTCTTTTTGTTGCTTGTTCTGGTAGCTGAGATACAGAGAAGGACTTAAGATTTCAGGTTTCCTTGAGTACACAACAGGAAAAGGAAAATAAGGGCATATTACGTAAATACCTCTTTAAAAATACTATTTTTGCCTGTATTCCTTAAAAGTGGTATGAATACACATCAGACCAATCCAGGAAGTTTTTTGTTTTCTATTCTCATATGTATTCAAGTGGATTTAAACACTTTGAAATTTTTCCTTTATAGAAATTAAGGTTGTCCCTCCCTAGCTGGAGATTGTTTCACTTTTTGTGGAATGGGCTCTTTTCTGAAATAATAGCTGCTTAAATGCAAGAAAATAGAAATGCTTTGCTGATGCTTATTATTGAAGTTTCATAATACATTTTCACTTGTAAACTACTGATACAGCAACAATAAACCCATAAAATACTTAAGAAGACTTTTGTTTGTTTGTTTTTGTTTTTGAGGCTGAGTCTACCCTGGGTAGAGTGCCATGGTGTCACACAGCTCACAGCAACCTCAAACTCTTGGGCTTAAGCGATACTCTTGCCTCAGCCTCCTGAGTTGCTGGGACTACAGGCGCCTGCCACAACACTCGGCTATTTTTGTTGCAGTTGCCACTGTTGTTTTAGTTGGCCAGGGCCCAGTTCGAACCCATCACTCTCCGTATATAGGGCTGGTGCCCCACCCACTGAGCCACAGGTGCTGCCCCCAAGACAAATTTTTTAAATAAGAAAAATACAGTCTGCAAGAAGATGCAAAAAAATTGTTTGATGTCAACTTATGTGGAAGCTGGACTCTCTGTTTACTGTATTGTGTGTATGGTCAAATAGTTTATTGGTTTTGGAGGGTTTTGTGGTTGTGGTAGTTGATTAGTTTTAACTTGAGGCTTAGACACCAAAAGCTGTAGGCTGTGTGCTTTGTTCGAATGTTTTCCACTGTTATTATGAAGAGTTTTTTTTTTTAATGAAGACTTTTAACTGCTTATTTAATATTTGTTACTTGGGAGACTTGGATAATCTTGGAGCCTCAAAGTGTCAGCTTGTATTGACGATTTGACTCCACAATATAGTGAAAGCTCCACTTAATAGAGGAGAGCTATTTATAGTATGTTTTATGATACTTGAAGACTTTATTAATGGAAATCTGTGGATGTCACTATTTCTTCCTGGTCAGCAGTGTTAAATATCATGATACAGGTTTATTCCTAACAGAAAACGTTTCCAGAGCAGTAGAAAGCAGGGAAAAAGAGTCTTGCCAGAGTGAAGCTAATAAAGGCAGTAGGATTTTTGACCAAATGTCTGGCACCCTGTGCCCAAGACCTCACACACGCACACGTACGCAGCTGGGCTCTTCAAAAGCAAGGAGACTAGTTTAAGGATACCTTCGTATGAGGAGTCTATGGAGAATCCAGATGGCACTACATAATGTGCCTGTCACGTGATACCTGTGGAATGGTTCTAGCCCTCCTGCTTCGCGCGCAATTTGTAATATCTAATCTAGAGAGCCTGGCATTGAGCTCCTGGTGGCAGAGTTTTAGGGTGTGCATAGCTCTGTCAGTGGAGATCAGCCATTCCCATTCTTCCATGTGCAGTCAGGAGCATATTAGCCAAGCCATCCTTTACCTCAGCACCACAGATGACAAATAGGAGTTTTTATATTGTTCCCTTGGCAGCTGTATGTCCCTTAATCTTTAAAGCCCCATCCTATGTGGCCTGTTAAAAGTCAGCAGCAACCTCTTGATCATTGAAGCTTGGGCCCTCTTCTCAGTTTGCATTCTCCTTTGTCTTTTTCTGCAGAGTTCATTTATTCATCCAGTAGATAGTTTTACTGAGAACCTGGCCTTGCTTACTGCCATGGTTACAAAGATGATGAAGATGTAGTCTTTGCTACAGAGGAGTACACAGTTGATTGGCGGTTAAGAGTGTAGCATGATAACAAACATCGGAAAACTGCAGGTTGCCCTGGAGTGAGGCAGGCCCCTCAGTCGCAGTTTGTGTGGGCTTGGTGGTTAGGCGGGAGTTCGGGGTGGAGGGCTTTGACTCCCTCTGTTTATGGTACTCTTAATTGGTGTCCACGTGTCCTCTTGTTCTTTGGTTAGATTTCTCTGGAGTAAAGTACATATACCGGCTTAATTGAAATTTTCGCTCAAGGTATAGTTTTTCATAAAGTTTGGTTCATTCACATTAACAGCTGTGGCTGCGTTGCTTTATTTTAACACCTAAATATTGGTTAGTCTGTGGCTGTTTAACTCTCATTTAAACTGCTTGATAATCCCAGTAGACAGCTGATCTGTCCCTGTCCCTAGTGAGTGCATGTGAAATGTTTTGTAGTGGTCATTATCTTCTTTGTAAGTATTAACACAGTGATACTTTAAAGGAGTGGAAGGTGTTAGAATGGCTGCTACTGCCCTTGTTAAGACCTGCGAAAACGGAAAGTTGCCTTTGACATACTGCCCTGTGATTTGGGGGTGGGGGGTGTTTAGAGTAAGTATATTTCCCCTTGTCTAGGGATATTTTCACATCTGTTTGAGACCCTTTGCTCAGTGACAAGTGAGGCTACTTGTGATTCAGGCTGCAGAGGACTTTGAAGATTTGGGATGCCATTCCAAAAGCCTCTGGCCTGGTGCGGTGACTCACTGCCAGTGCTAGTAATCTTAGGACTCTGGGAGGCCAAGGCAGGTGGATTGCACAAGCTCAGGAGTTTCAGAGTTCAAGCAATGAATCAGAGCTACAACCTGTCTCTACTAAAAATAGAAAAACTAGCCGGACATTGTGGCAGGCGCCGTAAACTGGGGAAGTTGAGGCAAGAGGATCACTTGAGCCCCAGAGTTTGAGGTTGCTGTGCATTGTCACACCACAGCACCAATGGCTGCAAAGTGTGATTCTATCTCAAAAATAAATTAATAAATTAAAAGCCTCTGTTGCCAGAGGCATATGGGAAACTTGCTCTGAGCTTGCCCCCTTTGGTGGTGTATTTTCTTGCCGAGACACACTACCCCCAAGCAAGTATTAAAAACTTGCAACAGGCTCAGCACGTATAGCTCAACCGGCTAAGGCACCAGCCACATACACCTAAGGTGGCAGGTTCGAATCCCCAGCCCGGACCCGCCAAACAACAATGACGGCTGCAACCAAAAAATAGCCGGGCGTTGTAGCAGGCGCCTGTGGTCCCAGCTACTTGGGAGGCGGAGGCAGGAGACTCGCTTGAGCCCAGGAGTTGGAGGTTGCTGTGAGCTGTAATGCCACGGCACTCTGCCCAAGGGGACAGCTTGAGGCTCTGTCTCCAAAAAAAAAAAAAACTTGCAACAAACCTCGTGCCTTCTAGCACTGTTGACCTGGCTGCTGTTGTGGGGTCAGCATCTTGTTCCCTCCTGTCCATGGCCCTCGGCTCCCATACCCATGCTTAGCTTAGGGAATCAGCATGCTGTGCTCTTAGTGACTCTTTTTGTTTGTTTTCTGGTAAAGAATAGACAAATTACTGTAAGAAAGCAGCTTTGTTTTATTTTATTTTTCTTAGATTTGTTTTTGTTTTTTCCAGTCCTCCACAGCTAACTCTCACGTTCATAGTCAGCCGTGGTCTGCGCGATTACTTTTGTCTGGCCAGCTCCTCCATTCTGGGGACTGCAGAGGGGGAGCTGTAGGATCAGAAGGTGACCTTTATATTGTGGCAGCCAGTTGCTTAACTTCCTTAATGACCTGTCTGTATATTTGGTTTTGGGGGACAGAGTCTCATTCAGTTGCCAGGCTGTGAGTGCCATGTGCAATGGCCTTAGCCTAGCTCACAGCAACCTCAAGTTCCTGGGTTCAAGTGACCCTTCTGCTTCAGCCTCCCAAACAGCTGGGACTGTAGGCACCCACCGCAACACCTAGCTAATTTTTCTATTCTTAGTAGAAATGGGGTTTTACTCTTGCTCAGGCTGGACATGACCCAGTTGTATATTTGTTTTCTGTCTTATAATTGGAGAGCTTAGTATATTGTGTCTGTCTAGATGGGCATTTCTTTGAAATTTAATATTAGATACAAATAATGTATAAAGCATTCCTTTCTCCCTCTCTCATTTGGGTCTCTGAATGGTCGTGTATTGTGAAAAGTGTTTGGCACTGCTTAGAATTTGTGAACAATAGTGCTAAGAGCCCGTGTCAGTTGGAGACTGGCTTGGGCATGATGGGCGATGGCACAATGAATGTATCACTTGACTAAGATTTTTTTTGTGGTGATTTTCAGTCTTTCCCCCCCGGGAGCTAGTGTGAACCAGTTACCTTTTATTGCTCTGCGTGTGTTGTCCGTGCCAATCACAGAGCTGCAGGGGGCGGAACAAGTTAGGATAATTAGATTGAGGAGTGAATGTCACACTTCTAATTTCATTCTCTTTTCAAGAGATTTCCAATGTCCATTTAATAAAATGAGATTAACCCTCGGCAGCAGGAGCATTTGAGAGTTGTCAGTCAGTATAATATATTGACAGCTCAAAAAGGTGGTGTTCTCAGCACTCTTAGAAACACTGTCAGGTTTTTTATTGGCTGGAAGACTGTTTTATGCACAGGAATGTGTACGTTTGTGAGCACATGAAAATATTCCATTTCTTTAAAATTATTATGGACTTCTTCCTGCTAAATCAAAACAATAATGTAGAAATAACATACGTGTACCATGTAATTTAGTTTTATAATAAAACACCTAAGAACTTGTGGAACCATATAAAACTTATACAAATATTTATAAAGCAAATAATGATACATCTTTTTTCACATGTTTTAGAAAACCTCGGATCAATTCTCAGCTGGTGGCCCAGCAAGTGGCACAGCAATATGCCACTCCACCACCCCCTAAAAAGGAGAAGAAGGAGAAAGTGGAAAAGCAAGACAAAGAGAAACCTGAGAAAGATAAGGAAATTAGCCCTAGTGTTACCAAGAAAAATACCAACAAGAAAACAAAGTAAGTTTCTGCTTAAGTATGCGATATTATTTTGCAAGTGAATCCCGGACATTGTTTAAATGCCTCTTTTTTTTGTATCTCCCTCTTTAGACCAAAGTCTGATATTCTGAAAGATCCTCCTAGCGAAGCAAACAGTATACAGTCTGCAAATGCTACAACAAAGACCAGCGAAACGAATCACACCTCAAGGTACTCAGAATAACTAGAATGAAATACTGAATTGCTGCTCTGGTTTACTTAATCATAATCAAAAACCCAAGTGGGTTTGTAGGATAAGAAGGTGAGATGAAGAGCTAGGTGTGGATTTGTTAATCGAATATTTAAATACTGTTGCTAAAATAGGAGAAAGATAAATACTAACTTTGCAGTGGTCCAAAGCTTTGCTAGCTGATAACTGCTAAAGTTGATCAGCACACTTGCAGTCATCTTTGGCACGTATGGTAAGCAGTTGAGATTCATTGCCATAGTGTCATGAAATCTTTGTGTGTATTGATGACATTTTGTCAGAAGCTGTTTTTAATCCATACATTATTTAATCGGCTGTTCCCCTGTGGTGTTGCTTTCAGGCCCCGGCTGAAAAACGTGGACAGGAGCACTGCACAGCAGTTGGCAGTAACTGTAGGCAACGTCACCGTCATTATCACAGACTTTAAGGAAAAGACTCGCTCCTCCTCGACATCCTCATCCACAGTGACCTCCAGTGCAGGGTCAGAACAGCAGAACCAGAGCAGCTCGGGGTCAGAGAGCACAGACAAGGGCTCCTCCCGTTCCTCCACGCCAAAGGGCGACATGTCAGCAGTAAATGATGAATCTTTCTGAAATTGCACATGGAATTGTGAAAACTATGAATCAGGGTATGAAATTCAAATCCTCCACCTGCCCATGCTGCTTGCACCCCTGGAGAATCTTCTGTGGACATCGACCTCTTAATGATGCTGCCAGGATAATTCCTGCTTGCCATGGGCATCTGGCCACCAAGGAATTTCGCACCCTGACGATTACTCTTGACACTTTTATGTATTCCATTGTTTTATATGATTTTCCTAACAATCATTTATAATTGGATGTGCTCCTGAATCTACTTTTTATAAAAAAAAAAAAAATCTGCTGTGCACAATTTTCCATGTACATTACAACTGGTTTTTTGTTTTTGTTTTGTTGGGAGGGAGGTTTGGGAGGGGGAGGGAACTTTTATTTATTGTGTTCACAAACTCCATCCTTTCAGCATATCCTTTCTAAGTTTAGTTCTTTCTTCCAGTTATACTATGTACTATCAGTTTTGATATAACTATATATATATAAATATAAAATTATATATAAAGGGTTATTTGAAACCAATCCATGGCAACGCTGGTGCTTGATACACTGTGAAGTGAATACAACATTGAACAGTTACAGATCTGGGACAGTCCCTTCTATGAAAGTGCTGAAATTAAATTAAAATCAGTCTTATGTGAAGTATGTTCCAACCTACATGGGAACTCAACTCTCTCATCTGTCTAAAGAGTACTGGACAATATAAAAATATATATTTTTTAAACAATGTGATCTCAAATTTAAAGACTGCTCCAGATAGCCTGCATTCGCAATGGAATAACTGACAAATCACAAGTGGTTTAGTTGGGGAGGGCTTTGATCGTTCAAAAGTAACTAAACTAGCTCCAGAATGCCAAGTATTCGTGTAAATTACGGTTACATGTTAACATTGCTGTTCTTACATAAGCACTCATGAAAATACGGTATTCTGTACTCAGATTCCATCCATTTTCCAGACCTCTACTCATGGCTGAGGTAAATCTAGAAATTGTCTCTTAGTTTTAGGACTGAAACAGTCTGAACTCTTATTTTTTGGTCCATACAGGAAGCAATTCCTTGTTTCTACTTTCCATATGACATTGCAGAGGTGATGTTTTGTGATCGAAATTGGTTTGCTTCATGTCCCCTGGTTGATGAACCCTCACCCTACCCCTACCCACTCAGTTGTGAGAACTGTTTTTCTTTCTCAAAACGTACTATGATTCATTTTACTGAACAAAAATTATGAGCCACACATCCAGCCCAACGTGGAGCTTTTCAGTGTTTGGTGACTTTTTTGGTTTCCTGCTGTGGGAAGGTTCTCTAGTAGTGACTGGCTTGAGCCCCAGTGGCGGAGTTGCTGGGAGGGCTGCTCACTGCCAGCAGAAAGCCATCTTTTTCTTCCTTGACATAAAGATAGCATGAGTAAACTGTTTTTGTTTTCACTTTTTTTTAACTGTCTTACAAAAAAATCAAAGACCACTAACATGATCTCACCCCTTCCTCCTCCAAAGAAATTTTTGTTTTGTTTGCTTTGCTTTGTTTGGATCAGAGGTCCGTCTGATAATTGAATTTTACGTTCATAAACACACACACTTTGTAGTACTTCAGAGTCTTTTTCAAGCATGGGACTCACTGGGAGGGCAGCCCAATTTGTAATGCAGCACCGCATTCTGGTGTTGAAAACCTGGTTTGCTTAATAATACAAGTAATTTCTGTCTGTGGAGGCAACAAGTAAAAAAATTTAACAGCTTGAATTGAGTAGCCAAAGGAAAGGTTCCTTTCACATTTACATTAAAACTATTCTGTAGTCATTGGTGTACTATAACTTAAATTCTTTTCTTAAAGGTCTAGATTATAAAGCAGTGCCATTTGTTGCTGTGGTCCTACTCTCAAATGCATGGACAATGTTCCCCTCTTTTTAAAATACTTGTATCTGGGATGCAAGCTGTGCTTATCTTTTTAAATACATTTTTAAAGTATTTATTAATGAACCAAAGGAAATCAGATGCTTTCTATAAGCATTAGAATATATAATACATAGTGATTTGACTATGAATTTTAAATCCACATTTTAATATTAGTGGGATATTGCAAAGACATTCCTTCTAAAGTTTTAATATTCCTTTTATTAAGGGTCTCAGGGAGGGTAAATTAGTCAGCCATATTTATTTTCCAGAGGTGTAAGGAATTGCTAAGTTTTTAAATTAACTTTTTAAAAAAAATTAAAATACCACCAAACTCATGGGTTGCACTGCTTTTTGAACCAGTAAGTGTTGATATGCACTTTGTTCAGAAACACTGTGTACTTTTTTGAAAACTAGTTTCATGTAAAGTGATTGGACCCCCTAGATTAGTGGAAAAGACTGATTAATCAGCTACTCATAGGCTGCTCATTAATTCATTGCCAATGTCTTGGTTTTTTAGTTTTGCCTCCATGATAAATTAAAAGAATGGGGAGAGGAGAAGGAAGGAGATAATTAACTTTAGAACACGTGGCATGATATTGTCATCCTGGTAGAAACTGCAGCTAACGTTGGGAGTTAGAGCAATCAGATGTTACAGGGCCAGCCCTTTAGCTGCTGTTGTTTACTGTGTTGGGACAGTAAGGTGGTCGGTACTTTAGACTTTTAATTTCTGAAAAATGATACCATCCCTCAGGCATGTATTCTGGAAATGGAATTCCTGTAACTTCCTGCATTTGCAGTTGGCCCTACAATTAGTAGGTAGCGCATAAAAACACTAGTATAGATTACAAAGATATATATTAAAAGAGGACCAGAAATACTTGGTATTCAGTGGCACAGAAAGCAGGTTAAAAAAACAAAAAACAAAAAAAGCACAGTGTTATGCTTGCAAGTTTCCATTTGTTTTAATACCACACAATCTTCCACCCTTGTGCGTGCGCGCGTGTGCGCACACGGCGCTTACCTGACTTGCTCTACTTGAGTCATTCAGTTAAAAAAAAAAAAAAGAAGACATTTTGACACCCACAGAATATTTTAATCAAAACCTTTCAGTTTCAATCTGGATATTTAAAAACATTGGCAGAAGCTTCTGTGAGTTTAGTTCCACTAAGATGTTTCACCTGCCTTATCAAGACCATTCTCAGTCTACTTTTTTAAGCTACCGTATCTTAAATTATTGAAAATTTATTAATTGCTGAATATATAATAACCTTTGCTTGTATGTAACCGAAAATGGTTTAAGAGCCAACATTTAGAGTATGACAATGGAGCTGAACAGTTTTTAATGCGCAAGCAGTTCTGTTCTTGTGTATGACTTGTAACCTTAATTTACTGTGTAAAGATGGTTACATTATTTCCTTAGCTTTGTTTGTTGGAGACAAATAGAGAGAATGCTTGTTAAGTATGTCAAAACATAATCTTATCTTGTGAATTTTTGTTAATGTATTATACGAGCTATATTTTTCATTTGCCCAGAAAGACAGCTTGTATAACGCTTTTGGAAGTTTCTGCTCTGTAACGTCTTTAGAGCTGACAGTCTGTTAGGTTTGTTTTTTTCTTCATGCTAAAGTGTCAGTTGGTGGTTTTGTGAACTGGTCAGAAATTCACAGGTCTTAAATGTTTGGGGGAAATTTATATTGGACACTGCTCTTTGTCTAGCAAATAAAAGATGTTAATATATTCCTGTTACTGGCATGTGCACGACTATGTTATTAGAAGCCACTTTATCATTTTCCTGCTTTAAATAGAAATGTCTATTTATGAATTCTGCTTGTAGTTTTTTCACAAATAAAATAGTAAAATTTACATTGGAAATCTTTATTTTTGTGTGTACAGACTTTAGTCCTTAGAGTAATAACTACTTTTTGTACCTTGATTTTTAATTTATGGAATATTTCCAATGTGAATAGGAAGGTCATTTCTTTTTTTTTAGAATTTGAGTTGTTTATCAGAAGCTTAAAAGTTGCTTTGGGTGTCTTAGTACCTATTTCAAATGATGTAGGAGAAAACGTAAAATGAGCAAAAGAATCACCATAATTTGGAAATGAATTAATGCCTTCTAAGTGCATTCTCAGAGATAAGTTGCAATGATTTAAAGAAAGGAAATGGAGTTGATGCTAGGAACGGCTATTCAGGGTTGAAAACAACCCCCGTTTCTGGCCAGCTGCAGGTAAGGTCCAGGATGGCTCAGAGACGGAAACCAAGTGCAGCATCAAACCTAAAAACTACACAAGCAAAGCTCACTGACTTCCCAGTGCTCCGAAGACACTGCCTGCCACTGAGGCCACTCCAATCACTGTGACCTTCTGAAAATTTTTGAAGCCATTTAACACTTCAGGACTTGTCCCTGATAACTGTCCTGGATCTGCACTTAAGGGAATAGTGCGGGCCTCTGATCTGAAAATGGATTTGTCCTGGAAAGAGAAGGCTTTGCAAATTCCATTTGTCCTCATTCTGTAATGTGGCTATTCAGAGGTCTTAGCTTTCTAAGAAGCTGGCCTGGGAAGGGTTGAAAGGCAGGGAGTGGGTGGGGTCTCCAGTGCTTCCCGTGATGGATACAGATAGGGAGTCTGCTGTACCTTAGGCCCCTTTCTTTCTACTTGTGTACCTGGGGAGTTCTCTGTTCCCTCTGCCTGTGGGCTTGGTACCTACTGGGGGAGGATGGGAGCTGCCACGCACACTAGAAGTATCCCTGTCACAAGTGTTTGACCCTTGCAGCAGGAGTATAAGGATGTCCTTTAGGAAGAGGGATTTCTTTCTAGCTGCATGGACAGGAAGGGTGTAAAAGGTTTCTCTCTAGTCCTCAGCTAAACTCTAGTGTTAACACCAAGTATCTAGACCCCATTTTGAGGAATCCCCTGGTTAGGGTGGGGTAGAATGAGGTCTTAAGCCAGAAAAGTTCCCAGGCTTGTTTTCTCTGTTTTCATAGTCATATGACATGGAGGGAAAGCCAGCCAGCTCCTACCTGGCGCAGGGAAGAGAATAGGATGTCAGGAAGGCCCTTGGTCTGTCTCACCTTGACTGCCCAGCAGAGCCATTCTGAAAGATTAGAGCCATCCTTGTGTTGATAAAATCAAAACTCTCAAGCAAGATTCTGTTTGCTAACTATCATGGAAGCCACAGCCTATCTGTCCTTAGGGCTTTTGTCAGGAAGGTACTATAGAAATGGATGACTGGATATTGCAGGGAAGGCTCTGATTTTTCTAGAAAGGATCACAGGATGTGTCTTGAAACAGTAGATACACAGATGTTATGTTCTGCTTGGTGTTAATGCCTCTCTGTAGGTGTTAACCACAGGGCCGGGCTGGGGGCTCTAAGGTGTCCAGTCCCTAAGCATTTATGTATGAGGACTGTCTGGAAAGTATTCAGCCACCGATGTCTGTGTTTTTCATGTTACATGGCTGGGTGGGGGTATGTCTTCATTTTTCATACTGCATGGCTGGGTACTTTGCAGTCATGATCATGCTGCAGCACTGTGCTCAAGTGAGCAGCAAGGGTTGTGGATGGCAGGGCACGCAAGAACTGACCTAGATCTGGCAAGTAAGTGACACTGACCCCAACCGTTTCCCTCCCCACCTCCAGCCATCACTCAATCACAGTGTTCTTGTTTCGCTGAATCCAGACTCAGAATCCTCAAGGCAGCTATTATTCTAGCACACATTCTCTTGCAAAAAAGCATTGCCATATTCGGTCCCTGGACAAAGATCACCCCAAAACCACTGGGGAACTTTTCAAGGCAGTTGTTGGCCAACTCTTCAATTGTGGAACCGTAGGAATCCAAGGAGAAGTCTGACTGAGAGGCTTGGAGGAGTCAGGTAGTCAGAAAACTATCCAACATCTAACTCTTCAAAGAGCTCAGCTTTCTGTTTAAAACAGGGCCAGACTGGAAGATTCTTAGGGAGGCCAGTGCTGAGCACTGTAGCTTTAAATGCAGCCCTGAATCCCAGATCCAAAGGCCTGGCAGCCAGTGTCTTGCCATTTGGGCCAGACCAGGACCTGCCCAAGCTGTCACACAAGTTCTGCCAACCTTGGACTCTGAAATAGCAGGGCAGAACACCAAGCGGATGTGATTCCTGGAAACAACAGGATACAGCTTGAGGGTCACAACCTCTGAATGAATGACTGGGTGACCTTGGGCAAGTCAGCCTCCCTTGTTCCTCAGACACTAGAAGCGTATGCGTTCTTGCTCTGTTCTCTGTTCCTAGGAGTCATAGGAGATTGGTCATGTTTTACTATGTTTTTAATAATGGGGAGCAATATTTTTTTTTCTTGAACTTTCATTTTGATGCTTCACTGCTAACACTATGAATGAAAAGGGTTCGTTTGGGCTTTATGGTGTTTTTAGTTTTTTTATGCATTAATTTTCCTGGCCCAAAGGAAAGAGCAGTTGATGAAAAGGCCTCATGTAAATAAAGCCCAGTGGTATTTTTAACAACCGTTTGATGTTTCTGTGTCTACAGTGTTACGATGTATATATGGCTTTTGGTCATTAAAAG